TATTTGCGGCTTGGATTGAACAAAAAAAGATCGCGATAGCTTCACTTTTGTTAGCGGGTGCCGGAAACGAGAAGGTTCTGTGGGGTGGCCCAAGACAGGGGGTGGCCCAACTCGGGGTGGGTCGACTTAGGTCAGGGTGGCGGGCGGCCGGGTTGTGGCCTCGGAATATAGCCAAACCTCTAATGAGCCGCTTTATACTCGACAATTCTAACCGGGACAGCCGGCGAGCCGAAATTCAACAATCTGCAAAGGATAACAGGGCCAAACAACGTTCGGGGATACCTGAGCGGATGTCCCAAATCCTATGGGAGACCCCCAAACAATCGAGAGAGTTGGCCACCCAAATCAGCACTATCAAAGCCCGGATTCCTGCAAGCCCTACGACCCGGCTTTTCTTCAGAAAGCTTCAAAAAAGCTACAGCATGCGCGAATACGATTTGGCTACGGCCAGCCAAAAAATTAAGCAACTGGAAGCACAATTGGAGGCACAGCGGCCTCGCAAAAGGAGGAGGGTAGCCCCTGATCCCAACCAAACCTTTGTGGATATCCGCCGCGTTGCAGAAACAAGGGGTCACGTTGAGGAGGAAATGAGTAGTGCATCTGAAAGAGCGGAAAATTCTGATGAGGAATCAGTTTTATCCTGCATCGAGGTTGGCTGAATAGAGGTAGATTTTTGCAGTTGAACCCAGTGGGTTTGTTGTTGATCGGATCGCGGGCCAGGCGGCGGACAGGGGGTGCACTGACTTACTATGTGACGAAAGTTGGAGGGAGGGGATGTGGATGATATGTCTGCCACGGATGCACCGGCTCCTAGAAGGAGAGAAAGGTCACTAAAAATAATAATAATAACAAAAAAACATGGCCAAAGCTAATTCTAATCTCTCGGGTTTGCCCCTTGCAGACATTATCTTATAAATTGAATATGTACTCGGCAACTCCCGCATTGGCTTCTTTCCCTAATGTTTTTTAGGATATATATCTTTTGGCCCATCCTTATCATTCTTAGTTACTTTTAACCTCTTGCTTTTTTCCCCTTGCTTTTTCAGCATTTGATCTTAACCTGGTGCGTGGCTGGTCCGCACCGAGGGGACGGGGCTGATGTGACTTGTCGGATTTGCGGCGTCCCGGGATGCGCGCTCCTTGTGACCGACGTTCGTCCTCTCTTGGTAAAGTACCCCCGGCACCTTGCGAGCATGAAGGCAAGGGAGTGAGTGTTAAGGGCAGGGGTTTGGTATATCGAGGAGAGCAAAAAGAGACAAGAAAACAAAAAGGAAAAGGATCACACCCTTTTATCAGCCACCTCGGCGCCCAAACTGACAGCTTTTTTTCGGGGTTCCCGTGCCCGCTGCGGTGGCTGTATCGGGTCATCGGGCAGACAATCGTGATTTAAAATATTGTTGTGATGGAAGGGAGGAGGGGTGGAGAGAGAAAGGGGCGGAAAGAAAAGCAAAGCCGCATCAGGGACCGCCGCGTTCCCGCGATTCCATGCTAGCCCCAGAAATAGGATGCCCAGGATACAAGATGTACTGGCACCTTTCTCGAAAACCCGCAGGCGGGCCCGACCCGCGTCTTGCGCGGTGAGGCATATGGCCACCAGATAACAGGCTTCAGATGTAAAACTCGCAAAAGGGTATTTGACCTGCCGGCAGCCACTTAGGTCCGCCCTTAACCCTGTCATATCGACGGGTTGGCCTGCAAGGTCGTGCCAGTAGAACGTTGGGTTATCTAGCGATGGCTGTGCCGACATGCGAGGTCATTGTCACGGCCAGTAGGGCCTTGATTGTAGATAAAGGAGTTGGGACCGGGGACCTTATTGTCAGATAAGGACGAAAGCTTCACAAGGTGGATCCCGCAGAGATATTTCGAGTCTTTGCAGGGCCAGGCCTCCGGCCTCCAACCTAATCCGAATACCATCTTTCTGCTCCTCCAATTGTACTACCTTCGACTGCTTCGACACACTGAATGCCATCATTATATATTATGACGATAATACGGTTATAAGGGGCAGGAGATGCAAGTGGAAAAAGGTTTAAGGCTATGTCCAATTTATCGGCTACCTAGTCTAAGCCACCGTGATTATTTTAACAGAAAAACAAAACAGCAAAGTTTTCAAATCCAACCAGGAACGCCTCGCCAGCGCGTTGCTACATACTGTCTCCTCCAGCGCCCAATTTCGCTGTTTGCAAAGCTCCCCCCAGTCTGACCAACGCCAAAATCCGTGTCTGCCTTGCTATTGTTTAAACAGAAGGCCACGTCATTTCTGCTTTGCCCCTTTTCCTTCACCTCGACCCTGGTCGATTGGCACCCTGCTATCAGCGGCGGAAAATTCCTCTTTGGTTCAATAGGGCCGCGTTCGTTACCACGAATCCCGGCCGCACAAGAGCACCGCCCAACCCGAGGCCGTAGTATGGACTGCGTCAATTTTGCTCCGCCGCCTCTATCTCGTGTATATAAAAGTTGCGTCCCTCCCCTAAGTCGCGTATATTGGGAGCCGATAAAGCACACCCTTCTCCATAAACCATTAAAACGGACTTCCTTTTCGTCGCCCCTTAGTCCGGGAAGCCAGACAGCGCCACTAGCGTCCGACTACAAGCATTCTGGTGTTTGTGCTTACTTCCCTAAATTTCGAACAAACAGAGACCCTTTATTACCTCATTTAAAAACGCCAAGCGTCGGTCCATTCGACAATGCGGAGAAAGCAAGCCCTGCAGACGCAAAATGAGCTGCTTTTAAAAAATACTGTATGGTCGGGTTCATCGACCTCTTTACCTTTATTTACTGCACTATCCTCCTTTCTAACAGGATTCCAGTCCCTGAATTTAACACTGCTGTTATTTTGGTGCTTTGTAATGTAAGTTGCATAACTATCCTTTTTTTCCTGCACCGTTTCATTTTTACTTCCGCCTTACGGTTCCGACGCTGTAAATAGGCCAGGCGACTAATATACGAATATACAATAGACCTTAGGAACACTCTGTATTTTTTACCCATTCTGTGTAAATATCCGAGTGGAACTGTGGCCTCGGCTTGCTGGCTCCTTTCCATCGTTTTCGGTATCGCCGCTATGGTTTTGGCGGTTGTTTATTGGACAATGGCACTCGCGACAGCGGACCAATGGGCTGTTCCGCACGATATAAACCCCTCTCTCATCCCCGGCGATGTTAACAATACGAACCTCTGGAAGCTGGTCCGCGGGCGAGATTATGGCATAGGTGTTATTATCGGCGCTATACTGCAGCTGTAAGTGTTAACCCGGCCAATGTTCCATTCATATTCTCCCATGGCGTACCACTTCGGCGGGCGGGCAGTGGTGAATAAAACGGGAATGCTAATAACCCACATGGGATGCAGACTGGTCAATACGTTCATGATCACGCTGGCGCTCATCGCTAAGTTTGCGGAACGTGGGGACCAGACCGTATAGCGTTTGATCTTGTTAATTAGCTTTTGCGGAGGACCAAAGCTAGCGACGAAAACCAACTTCGGCCAGATAGGGCTAGGTTATTTCAAACTTACCCTATTGCCTTTTTGTCGCTTTGTAATTGTTCTTTTATGGCATTGGGTAGCATGAAGAGGAGGAGGGCTTGTCCTATGTCATTCGGAAACGATCATCGGGAATAGCTTTATTAGAACCCTGGCCCATGCGCTTGCATAAGACATGTGCCGAGCCTGTAGGGCGAGTCTTTGGGATAGGGCTACCAGTCGGGCCAACGGCCCTAACAGGAGTGGACGAGCCTGTAGTACAAACCACCTAAACCGGTTTATATAACCCCTGCTTATCCCAGGGATCCTTTTCAGCAGATTCTGGCTCCTTAAGCATCTTTTAAGTCTATAAAAAGATTATTAGCTTTCATTAATGAGATTAATCCCTCTCAAGCCTGCATTGCACCTTTGTGACATCATATCTCCTTTACAGGGCTTTGGTCATGATTGTCATTTTCAGTTTAAAAATATTGTTTCGGCGGCGAAAAACGCTTAGCAGGGTTACGCGGTTCAATTTTACTATGGTACATGTTGGTAGGAGTGGTACTCCTGTAGGCGTGGAGATTTCCAAAAGGAAATAACAAATATTTATAAATCTGGAACTGGGTCTGTAGTGATGCATGTTTAAAAAGGAATTTAGTTATAGGAAGGGGTCGCAAAATCCCCTTTTGCAGGATTATGGGAGCGCACGGTCCATAAACATGTTACTCCGCGAGACGTGTGGTCTTTCCTGATGGACGCGCTAATTACGTGGATTAAAACTACACGTAAATAAATTTTAGCTTTTCGGCTTTTAGGACTACCTACTTTACTACGCAGCTGTAATGCATAGCTCGTGCACAAATTAGTGCGCCGTACACCAAATAATGAATTGTGTTAAACTGACATGGGCGTGCTTTTAATATGGGAAAAACTTTAAGAAACCAAAGGTTAAGGGCGTGCATAAGGTGACATTACAAGGGATAAACACACCCCGAGGGTGGTTTCGGTTGTACTTGCGCGGAAAAGGGAATTCCCAAACTCCCGAACGGTACGTGGGCGTGTGTTAGCCATGCCAATTTTTATGCCTGTCGGCGACCCACAAGTGGCCTTCTGTGATCCGGGTGTTGGCCCTTGGCGTTCCTTAAGGACAAACCGTGTACAGGGTCCCAGGGATTGTAAAGGTTACGCCCAGCCAGGGGGTAAGCCAGGGGGTATGTACATTGATTCTAGTGCTTTTTTGTTTGCAAAAACATGTAGGTGGGCCCCCCGGCTGGGATCCACCAGCGCAACCTTTATAATCCCTGGGACCCTGTACCACGACAATGCTCACGCCGCAAATCTTAACTTTTATACCCACTTGCCACTTCCTTGGCTGCCCCATTATTACATGGGTCCCTTGTAGGTAGGGGTTAAAAGCCGGAAAATGCTTACGTGCGCCTTGCAGTTGAACAGGGGATCCACAACTCAGCAGTCGTATTCAAACAGGGGCCTGGATGGCAGTGGCATTTGGGTGGGGCCTATTTCCCTATGTATTGTGTGCCAAGCCGCACTAACATATGCGAGCATTTCAGGTTGCATTCGCCAAGGCAGCTTTTAAATACACCCCTACTTTTGCGAACTTTACAGTGGAAATTTATTGGCCAGGCTTTTTACGCTATTTGTTTTCCCTTCGCCATATTTTGCTATTCCAGGATTAATAAGTGGATTAGGCTATAAACCTTGTCCTAAGTCGGAGTACCCCCTGTCGGCCACCCCCCCTTCCGGCCACCTGGCCGGGGCCCACTGCACCACCAAACCCGGTGCATTCAACTGCAAATATCTACCGCTATTCAACCAACCATAATGCAAAAGTGTACTGATTCCTGATCAGAATTTTCCGCTGTTTCAGACGCACTTTCCTCCACCTCTATAGCATCACCCCTTGTCTCTGCAACTCGGCGTATATCTACGAAGGCCTGGTTGGGGTCCGGCACAACCCTTTTCCTTTTGCGAGGGCGTTGCGCCTCCAATTCGGCCTCTAGTTGCCTGATTTTTGCTGGGCCG